GGGGGGGGGGGGGGGGGGGGGGGGGGGGGGGGGGGGGGGGGGGGGACTCATAAGCACGCAAGGCCGCACTCTCCACGCGATAGACCACGCACGCCACCAAAGATAGACCAGGGGGGCGACGAGAAAGAAGGTAAGGTAAATGGTCTGTAGTGCGTCGCAGCTCCTTGCTGCTGAACCACTAGAAACGGCGTTGAACGTGTGCACCTATTCTTTTCTCTGAGCTGCTCTCTCCTCTCTCTCCTCTCTCTCCTCTCTCTCTCGCACGCTAAGACAACGTAGTCCAATTCCTTCAAGCACAGTTGCATTCACCGCGGCTCTACGCTTGTTGTCAAATCAAAAAAAGAGTAGAAAAGTATCGGACAATCTCCTTCTAACTCGAAACGAGAGCGGATACAAAACGATATCGCAGCCTACCTCCCTCCCTTATCGGCGTTAGCGACACCACCATCAGCCTCTCCGGCACCCTCCTTTTCTCCCGCCGCCACCGTGCCATTGCAGGTCTTGTCATCGTCTCCCTTAGCGACGGCGGTGGCGGCGGCGGCAGCAGCGGGAGCCGCCGCGCAAGCTTGCCCGCGGGTTGTAGCCGCCGCGGTAGAGCTGCTACCTCCCTTCTTGCCGCCGCCGCCGCAGGCGCCACCGCCTTTTCCAGGTGGGGTCTTCGCCGGGCAGGCGGCGGCGGCGGCGGCGGCGGCGGCGGCGGGGTTGTCATCGCTCGCTTGTTCGCCTCCCACTTCGTCCTCCTGCTCCCTGCCTCCATCTTCCTCCGCGTCTTCTCCTTCCTCGCCCTCGTCATCTTCGCTGTCCTCGCCACCGCCGTCTTCCTCTTGCTGACCCTCCTCGCTGTCGCTGTCGCTGTCACCTGCTCGACAGCGTATTCGTGGTTGGCATGGCTTAGCGGTTAGACCATTGACCACGCGTCCTCGAGAGGACAGAGGNGGGGGGGGGGGGGGAGGCATGTGTTGCATGCCATAGCTTCTTGACTGTTGTCCTCGCAGTGTTCCCACAGGCCCGATCACCAATGGCCAATCGCGCGGGGCGGGGGGGGGATGAGCATAACAGCCACGGGACCCCCAACGGGGTAGATAAACGCCGGTCTCGAATGTGTGCAGCTTTCGCCGCTACTGCTGCACGTGTCGTTCCTGATCAGCGTTGACACAATGAGCTTAACTCGCGCCGACTACAATGTGTGTCGCAATGGCTACCGCGGTACGCCTCAAGTCTTGCGACGACATATGTAACCCCCAACCTGTGAAGTGTTGTAATCCTATTTAATCTGGTCGCAGAAGACGCCCACCAACACAGGACAAAAACAACATGTAATGCTCGAACATCTACATGTCAACAACAACAAAAAAAACTTCTGTTGTTGCGGTTGGTTTCGGCGAGAAATGAACCTCTCACCTTCTCCTCTTGGACCCCGACGGTTACTCTTTTAGTTCCCTACCAATGCTACTACGAGGTTATCACGCCCGAAACGGCGTTTTGGTTCTACAAAGAACCTCTCACCGTTCTCTTCGTCGTCGCCGACTGCCTGCCTGTCCTTCTTGCTTTGTTTCGCCGCGGCTGCGGCGGCTGCGGCGGCGGCGGCAGCGTCCTTCTCCTGCTTCCGAGTGGTGTTGTTGCCGCCGCCTGCCTGCATAACAGACGGACAGCGAATCCAAGACACACCAGAGTTAACAGAATACATAAAGTACACATAAAACATCGAAGGTAAGGCTGCCCGCTAGAGACAGTACCCTGTTCGGCAGGAGCGGCGGTTGTTGTCCATACGGCGACCGATTGTGAGGCAAACCTGCTGGATGCTGGGCTTACTTGAGTTTGTTTAACCTCGATGGCGAGGATGACAAGGCAATCAAAGAATTCATGCATCCCACAGGGGTTGCGGGGAGGGCGGAACGGGGGGGGGGGGTGG